CAGGTTCTAAAGTTGTTGCGTTGCTGAGATATTCAATTTTTGCAAAGAGCCCGAAAACGCACAAATTCCTGCATCTAACGAAACTGTCAATTTAAACTACGTACAACCTCGTAACGACACATTACTTAGATTTGAGAATTCTATCATCACTACCATAGCTAGTGTCTACTACAAATTCATACAATCACGAGCTCCAGACATGCTTTCGTTCTTTTACAGTAGATGATGCCGTGAGAGCCCAAATCATCGATCCGGTCATTTTGGAGAAAGATTTTTTCTCTAAAAACTGGGTCAATTCCTCGCCTCCTACGATACTGTTGGAGTGCACCAAATGTACTATCATGAACCATGGTGGGATTTTGAGGATGTTATAAAATCCTCTGGAAAACCAAGTGAGGTTTCTAGAAAACCAGACCATGAAATTTTCATTCGAATTTGGAATGTTCACATCAGCCATTTCATAGAGCATATAATGTTACACATGTCAAGCTATTTTAATAACTATTCGATTAGTTTTCCCAAGAATTCCATCATGGTTCATGATAGTACACTTGGTGCACTGGGTAACTTTTTTTTTTCTCATGAACATTTTGGACATCGGGAAAACCTCAACAGTTTGTGCCAGAAGTTTAAGCTCACCTTTAAAACTGCTTATCATCGCATATGAGTATTATTTGTTTGAAAATTGTTTTCTATTACAGTCATAGACGACATCAAAGCACTTAAAGACTATGTCTGTAGTGGAACTATACGTACAACTAAGGAGCCAGTAATTATTAAGATAATTAGCAGAAAAAAATCGGTATTTACTGTGTTGATAGTCAGTCACTGGCAGCATTAGAAGAAATGAAAATCAGTTCTGAAGTTTGTCAATATCAACCGCAGTGTATGTATATCACAAGGGGTGAATGTGAAGAGCAACAAAGTGACGTTGCTCTTGAAGAGCTGTTCTTTGCTGTAAAAAGCCGAATACTATCGGAAACAGGAGCTGCATTACCTGTACCAAAGCTAATACAACAAAGAAAAATGAAAACAGTTGCTGGGAATCATGCACTAGTATTTGAGAAACTGGATGGTATTGACTTGGCAACGAAATGTAAAAGTCAGCTCATTGGTGTTCATAGAGCAAAACAATTAGCAAAAAGCTTATTGGACGGTATGAAAGCCTTAGTGAAGTGTCGAACCGCACATCTCGACAATCTTATGGGAAATATTTTCTATAATGATAAAACACAGAAAGTAACATTCATTGACTTTGGAGAAAGTGCGACAAAAAATGGAGAAGAGTATGAAGGACGAATGTCTCAAGATATAATGCACCTTGTTATTGACTGTTATGTGCAAAAGGGTCCTACGGAAGGTAACATCATTACAAAATTGAAAAAGATGAAGCAAACATTCAACTTGAATCAACAAGAACAGAACCTTATTGAATTGTTCTTATCGCTTCTCAGTATGGAGCAAGATGTAAAAGAAACATTTGATTTCGATGAAATGGAAAGGAAAATAAACGAAATGTAAAAATATGTTTTTTTCTTTCATCGCAAATGATTGGATGAACATTTATTATATATTTAAATCACAAAATGAGTTCTGCAAAATCACCAAAACTGTGTTTTGCTTCTTTCAGCGAATTCAAGTTTTTATAAAATAATGAAAATGTCTTTTAGGCGTGTAAGACCAAAAAGTTGGAGCTTGTTTGATAATAAAGCACCTAACCAAAGTTAATAAAACCCCGACATTTAGAGGTTTCAAACCATGGCCCTCCTAGTGCTGATCTTGAAAAGATTTGAAAACATCGGGAAGTAGGACTTCTAGAAAACCATGGTTTTGGAGAGCTTCATTTTAAATAAAAAAGTTTTCTGTCTCATATTATTTTTAAATTGAAAATGTTTTAAATTACGGTATCTTGTACAGAAATGTTCAGCGACGTTTCAAACAAAATGGTATAAAAAAATCTGTTTTCCTTAGTATTAAACTGAAATTTTAAAATCGAAAAATACAAAATTTCTCAATTTTCTTTTTTCGCAACAGATACGTTCAAATATACTATCAAAGAGTGTGTGAAAAGCTGAACAAACGTAGGAGTTTTCGAGATTTCAAAGCGACTGTAACAGAGTTTAATACAGGGTATTCTGGAAATCTTCAACAATGTTCAGTTCTTTTCCACAGGCTATATCAGCTTTTAATTAATTTTTCATTCAGATTCGACTTAATATTCTTTGATAGTTTCACAGATAAATGGTTTTGACATTTGAATAGGTTTTCAAAGGCTTCTGAAGTACTTTTACGTACAAAACTCGATTTTCTCTATTTTCTAAAATTCTAATGCATTTATATTTCTAACAACTCACACAGCTACCATTTGCTCAACCCGACTGAGGTATTTTGAATACAATTTGAACTTGGCAGACCTGAATGCAAAGAATCGTAGCTAACAGTCATCCAAAAGAAGTGAGGATATTTTCACCTGCTATTTTGCCATATTGTCCTTGACTGTTGATTTTACAATCGCTGAAAAAAGCCAATTTTCATAGGTAAAAATGCTTCAGAAGCCTTTGAAAGCTTATTCAAATGTCCAAACCATTTGTCTGTTATACTATCAAAGAATATGGAGTAATAATAAATTAGTAAAGAATATGAATGAAAAATTAATTAAAAGCTGATATAGACTGCTGAAAAGAACTGAACATCGTTGGAGATTTTCAGAACACCCTTTTATAAACTCTGTTACAGTCGTTTTTGAAATCCCGTTTAATAGTAAGGAAAACAAACTTTTTGATATTATTTTGTTTAAAACGTCGCAGAACATTTCTGTACAAGATACCGTAATTTAAAATATTTTCGACTTAAAAGTAATATCAGACAGAAATTTTTTTACTTGAAGTGGAGCTCCCAAAAACCATGGTTTTCTAGAAGTCCTGTTTCCCGATGTTTTCAGACCTATTCAACTTCACCACTAGAAAGGCTGTGGTTTGAAAAATCTACGCATCGGGTTTCGTTAACTTCAGTTTCGGAGTTAGGTTCAGTGTCTAATACGTCTAGTACATTTCTTATTATTTCGTGTTATACTGTGTTTTTCTTGTTTTCTTTTCATTAAATTTTGAACTAAATCCAATAATGTGTTATGGTTTTTTTGTGAGTATGTAAAAGAAAGGTACAATTCTAGTTTCTCAATGGTAAATATGTTCCTTCCTATCCGAACGTATCGGGTAGTGCTGAATCAATTAGACTGTTAGTATTTGCAATTTTTCTCCCCTTCCTTATAATTAATCAAGCAAACCTTTCTACTAAAAGACAGCCCGTTCAATTCTCTACGAAACATGTAGTGACTGTTTTATTGCAAAATCCGACTGTGTAAAATGATATGAAAAATCCTATGAAGTACAAAAATTCAGAAAAAAATAAGTTAAACAACCGTCTTTTAACTTTTATTCGCTAAACGTTTGTGGGAGGAAGAAAGCTAAAGTGGCTATCGGATAAGCCTTCGAAAGCTGTATCTTCCACTTACGATTAAAATTTTTTTACAGTTAGAGCTGAGGGCTCAAACGTAACGATTGTTTCTTGAAAATTTTTCAAAAATGATGATTTTCGACCAGAATTTGCATCATTCGATGGAATAAGTATAGTCTAGTTAAACTTCATCCTTTCAGATTGAAGTTTTTCTCATTTTGAAGACCAATGATTAGTCTATACTTTCGGATCAATAAGATATCAAAGAAAGAACTTTCTTTGTTGCGCGTAGATAAGGTCCAAATTATTCGCTGTTTTCGCTCGGTTACCAATAAGTCAATCTTTGCGTCGGATATTTTCACTCGAAAGAAATTCTGTTGCATGCCATGAGAGAGAGAGAGCACACTCGAAACTACACAAAATATACTCAAACCGCGCTCCGATGCTTGTGAAACTATTTCAAAACATGTAGCTGTCTAAGAGAAAATACGTAATTTTTTTCTGAATTTTCGTACTTCGTAGGATTTCTGATATTATTTTCCACGTTCCGATTTTGCAATAAACCAGTCAATGTATGTTTTATAGAGAACTGAACGCGCTATCTGTTCGTACAATGTTTTTTTCCTTCTTTAGTTAGCTGTATGGTTCATTAGTGTGTAAAACGTCGCGAGGCATTCTCAAAACGATCAGTCTTAATTATCTTGAAGAAACTCTGAAAAAATTTCCAAGAAATTAGTGGTAATTATATAGTATGTGCGTTTACAAAATAAAACGGTATCTGACTTTTAATAAGAATTTCATAAGACAGTGATAAGAGCGTCTTATCAAAGTCATACTTCATTCTTATTTAAACCATACCTGATTCTTATCGGATTCGTACGAAATTCTTGCCATCCATTTTCATGCGGACTTCTGATGTAAGTGTCCAATAAGACTCAGATAGGATTCTTACTGGAAATAATGAAAAATGTTCTTCTAAGGCATTTCTGAAGGTACACAATTGTTATGCTTAAAATTATTTAATTATGAAGTATTAAAAAATGAAAAAATTCAGGTCAAAATGGAATATAAACTGTTCGAAGCAGTCTGTTTGTGAGATAGCATCTTTGATTTAATTTGATAAATTTTTAATTTTGTTAATATGCATATTAACGTCTTTGATGACGTTTAATTTCATTCTGCATTTGTATTGCTGCACAAAATCCACAGAAAGTAGTCGCTAAACAATCAGAGCAAGCATCTCCCTAAAAATAACAAGAATATTATTGAATTTAAAAATAATTTAATGTTTTCTTCTGTACATCTACCCTAATATTTAATACTGATCGAATTTTCATTCTGTATTTAGCTAAAGCATTTGGAACAAAAAAACATCCACAACATGATTCATCTATATCACCAGCAAGTTGACACATGAAACATGGACAACACCAATAGGCAAAACAACCTACAACATTTCTTATTTATGAAATTCTTCAAACAAAATATAAAAAGAAATATCAACTAACAGGTGGCCAAATCATCACAGCAACTACATAGTCCAACAGACCAATCATTTTGAAATTGAAATGAAACTGGTTGTATTACAACTGGACGTGCCATCTTTATATTTAAATACTTAAATGTAAATGAATTTTATAAATTAGCTGTTAAAACTATTTATTTAAATCATATGTAAAACAAATTTTATTGCTGTAGAAGAGTTTCATCTTTTTCGTTTATATAAGCAGATATCTGGAGCTTCCAAGGACACTTTTCTTTTGTTCTACTGTGTATATTTATTCCAATTAAAGTGAATAAAACGAAAAAAAGTTAAAAAAGCAAAAGCAATCACGTCAATAGATTCCATAAGTATGGCGAAAAAAGAAAATGAATTTAAGATGTAAAATTATTACACCCACCCACAGTGAGCATTTTTGACCTGTGATGAAGATAGCAGAATATTTTTTCAAATAAATCTTTTCTCATGAATCATTATTGTTCTCGAGTTGTCACAGAAATTTTTAAACAAATCACTCTTTACGAAATGTCACCCCAGTGGAAAGATACTGACGGAAAATTGTTTAATTCAAAATTTATTGTTTTACATAGGGTTCAATGCAGTTTGACGTACTGGTTAGATATAATTTCTGATATTGTGATTTTTGTCAACATTATGTAGATGTAAAACAAATTACAAAGAAAGAAATTGATAGTGATTTTTATATGAATGTAAGAAAATTTTTCCTTACATTTGTGGCTCATAAAACTTTCTATCGAACTATCTAATTCTTATTCCTATCGACAATAATGGTTTAAATAGAGAAAAATTTCAAATAGAATCGAAATTTTGAGTGGAATTTTTTTTCCTTAAATTTGATTTTAAAGAAGAAGTTGAGGTAACCAATATGTCTGTACGAATGTCTGTACGATCTTGGAAAGAAAACAATTAATAAGAGAAACATCAAAATTAAGAATATTAAGAATAAGAGGAAAGAAAATAAAAGCGCCCATAATTCACTCAAAAAAGGTAGCAAACTTAACAAATATGTGCCAAAAAGGTTTCAAAACATCAAGCATTGTGATACGCATTGTCTTTTCTTTCAAATAATTCCATTTCTAGCTATGGTCGTGATTTATTGCCAAAAATTTCAGCACAATTTGTCTAGCAGAAAGCCTCGACTTTTCAAGCGCTCCCGTAATGTTGTCAGGATCGGTTTTTCCGCTTTATCGTGTTCTTCTATTTTGAACATCGACCTCTCTGAAGTAAACATGTCATTTCAGCTTGATTTTTCTTTTTCCAAATGCTCTTTTATTCCTTTTAAAGCGAAAAAGAAATTAAAAATGAGTCTAATGTGGCTTAAGTTAACGCAAAATCAGATAATAGAATGGTATAGCAAATCATGCATATGTGCTATACTTACTTTCGTAAACTGCCCTTACAGAGAGCGATGTTACGATGTAACGACACTAGCATACTATGCACAATACAAGTTGTCGTAAACTCATGTTCCCTTGACTGTAAAGGAAAGGGTCTTATCGAGTTAAAATGCCTGTATGTATGTTTGTATGTATGTTTGTATGTATGTTTGTATGTATGTTTGTATGTATGTTTGTATGTCCGCAGACTAGATACTAGCGACAGACAAACTAGTACAGCAAAAGTTGATTGGCTGATAATGATGTGGAGTAGGTAGTCGACTATGGGGAATCAGAAAATGAGTATGAGCGACCTCTACGGTGATTCCTATTGGTCGAAAACATCATTTCCACATTAATGGATGAAAATGATATGGAGCGGCTAGTCGACTATGGGGAATCAGAAAATGAGTATGATCGACCTCTACGGTGATTCCTAGTGGACGAAAACATCATTTCCACATTAATGGATGAAAATGATATGGAATAGGTATAGGACTATGGGGAATAGGAAAATGAGTATGAGCGACCTCTACGGTGATTCCTAGTGGACGAAAACATCATTTCCACATTAATGGATGAAAATGATATGGAATAGGTATAGGACTATGGTGAATCAGAAAATGAGTATGAGCGACCTCTACGGTGATTCATAGTGGACGAAAACATCATTTCCACATTAATGGATGAAAATGATA